ATAACAATTATTAACGACGACAACAACAACAACAACAACGACGAGGACGACAACGCCGGACAAAATTTTTCCCTTAATATACCTTTCCCTTCCATCTTTGATGGTACGGGCAAGGTAAAAATGTCATGGTCTTAGTGTTAGTGATGTTGTATAATAGTAGTATAATTATGAAGTGTGTTAAGTGATGACTGTAATTATCTATTTATTTGTCTCAATTTCAACCGGGCTAGTAGATTAGTGATAGGTTCAAATTGGAGCCAGTGAAACTGAAGAGCTACTTAACTGCTGAATGGATACTTGACAAAATTGCCACAAATTTGTTGTCAAAGAATACACAGGATGTTTACTTGGGCAAGTAAATAATTAAATCACTCTTCTACAGCATTATCCCCTCTCCTTTCTCAAAACATTAAATATTATGTTCTGTGATAATATTTGATTTGTTAAAGGGTAGTGGTCACCATAACATATGCACGTCATACAAGTCTTATACAAAAGATGGCGACTTGGAGTGTTGAGCAGATCGGGATATACAAAATAAAGATGCATTTAAAGTACATCAAGTTTGTTCATCAAAATTCATGTTCGGCACTAGAGCGAGTTTATTAACAGAACTCTTGCACATGTGTGGCATGATGGCCACTAATCTTTAACATTTTTAATTTAGTATTTTCATAAGAATGTGTATACTACTAATAAATGCCTTTCAGTTAATATAGCTCCGCCATATGACAAAAATATTCACTAAAATTAAAGAATTAAACTTATGGTCACAAAATGAACAAATCTGTTAGAAGTCCACTCAAGAAACAATTCATCAAACCATTCTATGACAAGATGATGACGATAGCCGATGTCACATTATAAAAGATGACAATTGTCAATGTCACATGATAAAAGGTGATAATTCCTGATGTAAGTTTGATTTTTATTTGATTATTACATATTAAAATCAACATATTTAAATGACACGATTAAGTCGATTTCTCATCTGAATCCAGATGATTTGCTGATAATTTAATTAAGGTTTTGATTGAAAACAAAATTATGAAATAAAACCTTGATTTTATATAGTTATACAGAGTTTGAAATATTCAAAAATTGTTGAGCAGAATCTGTCAGAAAAATAATGGAATCATCAACAAACTTGTATAATACCGTAAAATCTGTATTAAAAGCCGCACCCCTAATAGAAGTCGCACCTATTCTTTTTGAATAATTGAGAATAAAAAATTCATTATTTCTCATATGTGTAGATGCTCTAATAGAAGCCGCATCCCCTCTGTTGCATTCTACCATTTTAATAGAAGCCGCAGCTTCTAATACAGATTTTACAGTACTATTCTTTATTATATTCCAAATATCTTGATTTCTTTCATAACTCATTGTACTGTGATAAAATTAGATTTTGCATGAAATTACCAACATCCACATGTGATATTGCCATGACAACAATTCAATAAACTCCCACATCTTCAACAATTTTGAATGCTCATTATCTTCAACCAATCTGTTGCCATGGTGAATAGTATAGCTTCTCATCTTCAATTACAAAACTATGTTTTGGCTACTGTACGGTTTCGTCTACATGTAAAGAATTTATTTTTTTATATGAAACCATTTATTGTCTCGGTTTATAAAGCTATACGTGTATTTGGAGGACTACAGGTAACACACCACAAATAGACAGTACATACACAGCTTAAAACCGTAGATCCATAATAAAGCTGTAACAAACTTTATTCAGGAACTAAATTCAATCTAAAAAATAATTATTAAATGTATCCTATTAATTTGGGGTGTTTAAACAAATATTTAAATTTGTATCGTTTTAATTCATTAAAATAATTTAAATTTAAAAAATCCCTTGATGCATGAGTCGTGTTTAATAATAAATTACCATTCTGTTGAATACATCTCAGGTGATTTCAACAAACAGCGATTTCTTCAAAACGTGAA